AATATACGTATGTGTGTGATGTATTTGTAGACATACATTTGTGTGCACTAGTTTATTATTTACATATTTAATTATTGAATGATGCGTTCGCGCAACTCACAGAATCGCCCAGGTACAATACACACACGCATCATTCACACATTACTTAGCCTGACTCACCTGCATTCTTTTTCTGCTGTGCAAGATAGCGTTCCTTTTCTTCGTCACTGACTGGGCAACCATATGACTCAGTCTGTTGCGGAAGCGGTGGTTGCACCGCTGGTGCTGATGCGGCGCTTCCCATGACTATTTATACGTGATAATGAGTATCGTGTTATATGTTTCTATAGCCGTTTGTACTGTATACTGTAGTAACTAAGTAAACTATCGTATTTCTCCACGGGGTAGTATTCGATGCAGGTTCTCGTCTGGGGATGTGTCTATGCGGAGGCGGGTTCGCTACAAAGTCGTTAATGGTAAACTCTTGGGCTATATGCTGAAGGTACTTTTATATATAATATGAAATATACAGTATAAGATACTACTGTGATGCTCTATGCTATCGTCTCTGCCTATGTTGTTGTTGTGGTGGTGGTTGTGTATCTAATGGAAGATAGTCCTGTGATGTTATATCTATACAGTATATGTAGGCTGCTCTGTGGTGGTGAAGGTGTAAGTATGCACTGTGCCCCGGTATGAAATTTACTGATTTTTGTGTGGCCGAATAAATACATAAAAGGGTCGTGTCATTGCTTTATATTGACTTGTGAACATACGACACTTATCTATGCTTTTTATGTGCGTATGTTTTAAATTCGACCCGTGTTAAAGCCATATTTACGACACAAAGCTATCAATTAAAAACATATTCTGTTATTTTGAAATATACTTCCAGAAATAAAATAAAACTGCACGTGCACTAAGCCGTCATCACTTTCTGTTAAGTGATTATGTGTTAAGTGATTCTGTACATATGATCTATTCATTCATGTTTGATGAGATGGTATCAAATGTATGGGGAATGTGTGATGCATGTTCTTAGGTCTCTTGGTGATACATATATTCATGATATGATCTTATCTGCACAACAGGTCTATGTCACAAGCTACAGGCTGTCACCTCTGGAATAAACTTTATGCACATAGACCCTGGACTCATATTATATATATGTATATATATTCATTAGATTATAGTACAGGCGGGACTAATATTATTCTGCATTTTCTTACAAGCCAATTGCTCTACATAGCAAAGCAATTTCGTATACCCGAATTTCTGTCAAAATGGACAGTCGATTCAACACAGATAAACTGGAGAGCATCTCAAAGCGACTGGAGTCCGCAAAACAAACAGCAACAGAAGAAGAAAGTGACCAAGAATTCGTTGTAGACGAAAATAAAAGTGCCTCAGAGGATGATAGTGCTGGTGATATAAGCGATGACGGTAAAGATAATATTGAGACTGCGTATGGCAGTGACTCGGAATACGATAATGATGGAAACGTCATAGAGAAAGAAGGCGGTCGGATGAGTTCTAAACGCAAAGCAGACAGTGACATCAATGGTGCAGTAGAGAACGGGAGCGAAGAGGAAGTGGATGAGAAGGTATGTATGTGTATATAACTTTGCTCCTAGAGATATTTTACATTTCGATTCCTAATATATATATGTATATATATATATATTTATATATATTATATATTTATATATACATATACATATAAATATATATATATATGCATACGCACACATATATATATATGTATATATGTGTGTATGCAT